TGAGATGTTAAAACCAAGGTTCTTGTTCAGGTGGACATTGAAGATCCCATGGCGCTATTTGAAAAGAGAAGGGAGTTTTGACTAGTGTGTCCTGGCCAACAAGCCCTCAGATAAAATTGGTTATTCACTTCACGGCTGTTTGCGGGACGCTGCTTTGCGCAGAATTGGCTGCGGCGTGCCACGCTCACAAAATGCACAGTCGCTACACTTGTCAGTAAATCCTGCGAAGCGCTTTGAGGCACCCTCTTTACGTGAAAGACGCCGTGTCAAATGCAAGGATTATCATTAGTAATGGCTTTACATGTGACCAAAATTTAATTGGTGACAGCCACTATTTCATCTCCATGGGCCAGGCGTTGGACCCAGTGTTGGGACAGACATTGCCTGGAGATGTTAAGGGAAAGGATTTTCACATCGACCATATCTAATTCCTTTAGGAGAAATAAACCCCCATCTGCCATAGCCCCCTGCTGACAGGCTCCAGCCTTTCTGTCACTTCTGACGTATTGTGCCATGTAAATTCATCCGGAGCTGCAGGCAAACTTGCCATTTGGCAATACTGTATCGTGAGAATGATCCCTGGTGTTAGAGGAATGAGCTATGAACAACGACTAGACAAGCCCGCAAAACACATGCAGTCACTCCACCTTACAGTATATCCTGTGAAGCACTTTCAGAAGTCTCGACGACATGATGAGGGCGAAATAGCAAACCCAGAGCAATACTTTAGGATGCCCCAAGACAGCAGAACAAGAGGACAGGTTTAGAGTTTGTAAAGGGCAATTTCAGGACTGACACCAGCAAACGTTTTTCTTTATCAACAGGGTAACTAATAACTGGAACATGTGGCCAGAAAAGATGGTATGAGGCCTGGACAGTGGGACTCGTTTAAATACACAGCATTCTGGAGAGTGGTGGCTACAATTAAATGTATTTAAGGGTAATTCAACTTTTTTTTAAAAAAAAGCAAAGTTCTTTTAATTTTAATTAGGTTACGTTTAATTGTAGAGCAAAAGACTGTTTCCGAACCAGCCTGTAAAGATGAATTTTTTTGGGGGTCAGCCGGTTGTGGCTGACACGCGCAGAAACACATCACGTTCGCTTAAGAGTCTCCAAACCAAACTGAGATTTCCATGCATCGCAGCTACAGATGGAAATCCCAGAGATAAATAGTTGGAATGAAATGCGCACTCTCTCTCTCTCTCTCTTTTCCTGGAGGGACATGTCCTATTTATCTCATGAGGTGCAGGTTGGCGAGAGCCAAGGCTTGGGGGAGCTGTCGGAGTATAACCTGCTAATCACCTGTAAAGGGTCCGTAACTCTGTCTGTCCAGCGCCTTGGGACGTCCTCCCGATGTGAAAGGCGCTATACAAATGTAATTTTGTTGTTGTTGTCGTCGTAAAGTGAAGCCGAACAGCTCAGCATTTTAATACAATTCCATGTTCCCCTGATTTCAGATCCTACATTATTTTTTGGCAGCTTTTACAGTGCCTGCCAGGTTGCCGTGACTGATGTTTTAAGTGATCAGTGGATTTTTTTTTTGCTCCGCTCCTACTCTGTAGGCAGGGACCGTAAAATGATCCCCAGGAGTGGCAATAAAAGCCAGCGTGTTTTAATGCTTTTGTGATACATTTATTGATAACGCAAATCTGCTTAGTTATAGGGTTATGTAATTGTTTGATTGTCTGGACGGTTGCCTTATGAGACACAGGTTGCGTATCGCTGGTGAGTTTCCTTAGTCCACACGCCTCGGTTTACCTAACAGTAAGTAGGAACCCGGTTGCTAATTGATTGGTCAGTAAATTGATTGCAGGGGGTAATAATCCCTTCAAAATTAAATAAATTTAAATAATAATAATAATTTGGTCACTCAATCAACGACTGTTTGTGGGACGCTGCTGTGCGCAATCGGCTGCCGCGTTTCGCCCACAAAATACAGTCAATTCACTTTACAGTGTATCCTGTGAAGCGCTTTGAGACGTCTCGAAGACGCGATAAGACGCTATATCGAATGCAAGGATTATTATAACTTCTTCTCGCAGAGCCGTGGTGAAGCTACGGTTAAAGGAAAAAGCATCAAGGTATTCCAGAGAATATTTGATCATACGTGAGCGAAAACAACAACAACAACAAATTACAGCCTTATAATGCTTTTCACGTCAGGAGGCATCCGAGAGAGGAATAAAAGGGGAATAGGACCAACTAGGATCGAATGGTCTGTTTGTGCATCTTTATTAATCTCTGTAACGCTGTATAACATACGTATTGCTTCTTTTGTTACATTCATCCTGGTAATGGTAGATCTTTTACTGAAGGCTATATTAACAGCGCCCTCAGTCATTCGGTGGATGTACCTCAAAGTTATTAATCCTCAACAACTGTTTCATTCCCCTAGCAACAGTCTCCATCTGAGTTGAATGTAGAACGTGATACGCTTTAAAGCAACTTATCACTCCACACCCCCACCACACCCCACCCCCCTTTCTCTCTCTCTCTCTCGCTCTCTGATAAAATGCTGAGAATGCATTTCTTTACCGCTATCTGAAGGAGTAGCTGGATGTTTTATTTGGCAGATTTCTGGGGGAGAAACGCACTCCGATCCTCCCTTTTCTGTCTCCTGATCATTTATAATTGTTTAAAATAATCCTCTCATTTGATCCAGAGCCTTATCACGTCTCAAAGCATTTCACAGGTTTCACTGTAAAGTAATAATAATAATCCTTTCATTTTGATACAGCGCCTTATCATGTCTTCGAGTCGTCTCAAAGCGCTTCACAGAAGATACTCTAAAGTGAATTGACTGTATTTTGTGGGAGAAACGCGGCAGCCAATTGCGCGCACAGCGACCCACAAACAGTCGTGGATTGAGTGACCAAATTATTATTTTTTATTATTATTTATTCATTTGAAGGGATTATTACCCCCGGAAAGTGATCTGCCAATCGACTAACAACCGGATTCCTACTTACTGCTGGTAATCAAAGGCGTGTGGAGTAAGGAAACTTACCCAACGTTTCGCCCTGCTCAGGAATCGAACCCATGCCCTCTCGCTTGTGAGGCGAGCGCTCTAACCACTGAACTAATGGGTCGGTCAAGGTCCTGGAGGGTGACTGGGATCCTACAGAACAGCTCCCGAGCAAGAGGAGAGGGCAGTGGCTCAGAGGATGTGGGAACAGCAACAACAACCAACATCATCATCATATTGCATTTACACAGTGCCTTGTACATTGGGAGAACGTCCCAAGGTACAGACAGTCAGGGATTTGGACCTGAGCAGGGGTTGGGATCAGGAGGGTGGCTGAAATGCGCCGTCGAAGAGGAGGGTCTTGAGGAGACAAGGGAAGGGGAGAAGCAAAGGGACTGTGGGATGGATTTCCAAAGGTGGAGTGGGAGAGAACTTGGACGGAAAGATTGCAGGGCAAGGAATCTTCTGGCTCAGCTGGCAGCTCAGTCTAACTCAGGATCCGACGCACATTAATGGTGTGATGTCGGCCGAGAAATTTATACCCAGATGAGTCAGTCAGCTCCGAATCAACTCGATAGCCCTCGGCAGGAACTCAGCTTGAGGACTCAGGAAGCGATCATAAATCGACGGTTTCAGTTACTCAAATGGTCACATCCCGTGATTTATCTCTTCGATTAACGTTTAGGTCGCAATTGTAACGTTAGCCTACGAGTAAATGATCAGGTTCAGCGTGTTATTAATCTGGCTTTTGATAAGTTCTTGTGAATCACTGTCAGCCGCCGGGGTCTGTGTCTGTCTTTGAAACAAACCTCTTTCAAAGTTTTATCACGAATGGTTCGGATTACGTGAAGACGGAAAAGAGAGTAACAGACCCTCTCAGAGTAACGGGCAGAGCAAAATTTTAGGGGTTGTTATTTGCAGTGTTTCTTAACACTAATAATAATAATCCTCGCATTTGATATGGTGTCTTATCGCGTCTTTGAGACGTCTCAAAGCGCTTCACAGGATGTACTGTAAATTGCACTGACTGTATACTTTGTGGGTGAACCACGGCAGCCAATTGCTCACAGCAGAGTCCCACACACAGTCATGGATTGAGTGACCACATTTTTTTTTACTAATTTATTTATTTTGAAAGGGTTATTACCCCGGGAAAAGCGATCCGCCAATCGACTAACAACCGGGTTCCTACTTGGAGGCGTGCGGAGTAAGGAAAACTTGCCTAAGGGTTCACCCCACTCAGGAATCGAACCCAGGTCCTCTCGCTTGCGAGGTGAGCGCTCTAACCAATACCCTGAGAACTCCACAAAGTGTGTGTGTGGGGGGGGTGGTTGGGGGTGGTAGTTCTCAGTTTGGTCTCAGTCAAGCCCTAATTTCTGATTAATTAGGCTTCAGCCTGATTCACGAAGGTAGCGCTTTCATCTCTGAGTCTGAAGTTTGTGAGTTCAAACCACCACAATGGGAATGTGAATGACTTGTG